TTATGTGGCACCTTCCTCCCGACTCACATCTTTCTCGCCGGCCTTTCCTCTTCATCTCTACTGCAGAGCCAGCTGCCTGGGTCCCTCTGCCAGGAGCACCTTCCCTGCTGGCCGGGGCTGCCCTGGCAGTACGCAGGTCAGACCTGTGGCCCCCGGCGGGCACTGGCTACGTGTGCTAACACACTGGCTTCTTGTTCTCATTGCTGTTCTGCAGGAACTTGTGAGTTTTTTCCTTTTAAATGTTTTCTTGTAAAGGTGATGTACAGAGGGGTTACAGTTACATAAGTCAGGTAAAGAGTACATTTCTTTTGGAACAGTGCCACCTACTCCCCTATTTTCTCCCAGTTTTTCCCACCTGACCCCCCAAGTTGTATAGTTCATTTCCAGCATAGTGTCTAGTGAGTATCAGCGCTGGATTCACTCATCCTTTGTCCCACCGTTTCTGTGCTTCCCCGTCCCCTCCCCAAATCAGATAAACTTACATGTAAGACAGAAGGTACAGAAATAGGAAAACAGTGACATGAGGGAAACAACAGAAAGAAAAAAAAATAGAATCCCAAACAGTGCAATAAAAAGCCTCTGTGGGCTGGGAAGGTGGCTCAGTGGTAGAGTGCTTGCCTAGCATTCATGAGGCCCTGGTTCAGTTCCTTAGTACCACATACACCGAAAAATAATTAAACAAAAAATTAAAAATCTCTTGTTCCCATTTCTTGGTGTTCGTTTCAATAAGTATCAATTTTTAAGATCATATGCACATAGCTATTGAGCTCTTGTGATCCTCTCCTAAGAATGTTTAGAGTCCTGTTTAATGTATCATGCCCAAGTGTAATTTTTTTTTGTCTTTTACTATCCATTGGGTTTACTTGTAGACTTTATAAGCACATTCTAATTATTACAAATGAGGGAAACCATGCAATCTGTTTATTTGGGTCTGGCTTACTTTACTTATATGATTTTTTTCCAAGTCTTTCTATTTCCTTTGGAATGGGGCAATGTCATTTTTTCTGGTGGAAGCATAGATGTATGTATGTATGTATGTATGTATGTCACATTTTCTTGATCCATTCATCCGCTGAGGGGCATCTGGGTTGATTCTAAGATATGGTGACCAATACTGCAATGAACATGGTTGTGCTGATGACTTTAGTGTGACTGGTTGTGGTTAATTGGATAAATGCTTCAGAGTGGGATTGCTGGATCAGGAACGTGTATTTTTAGATTGGTGTTTCCCACCGTGGTGAGGACACACAGGCAGCTCAAGCCCTTTCCTGCCCTTCCATCCTGCTGGGCCGGGCCCAGGGGTGCTGCTCAGGATGCTGCCCATTGGCCCAAGGACTGGCTCCTCCTTGGTAAAGGTGAGGACACCGCTGACTCCTGGGGACAGCAGCAGAAGCCACCTCAGCCTGCTTTTCTTGGGGGACAGTTCAAAGTTTGGAGGAGGAAGCTATGAATCGAGGCTGTGCCAGACGCTCACACAGGTTGCCCACCCATGTGTAGGAGAGATGTCCAGGCAAGTCTGAGGGTCCAGGCTGGGTTTCAGAAGAGCCTGGGAGAGCTGCCTGGCTCTGCCTCAGGTTAACTATACACAGCAGAGAGGCCTTCAGATCCAGGGCCATGTGCATATGAGCGGGCCGCAGCAGGAGCAGAGATCAGCCTGGGACATCTCTGTGGCTTGTGGCCTCACCCGAGCTGGAGGCCCAGGCGTGCGACCAGCTGTGAAGGCAGAAACTGGCTTGTGCGGAGGGATCCTCGGGTCTTTGGTTGCGTTTTTGCTAACTTACAGGGCTGGGTTGTGGCTCGGCAGCGGCGGACTTGCCCAGCACGTGGGGGGCCCTGGGTCTGACCCCCAGCACCACAGGAAAACAACATTGTGAAAGATCATGACACCGGTCATTCCCATTGCCTGGCCTGTCTGCTCACGGAAGCTCCCACGGCCCAGGCTCCCCGGCTCCCCCAACAGCCACCCCAGAGCGCGGCAGGTGTGCAGGCGTCTTCCAGGCCTGTAGGGTCCTTGCAAAGTGGCCAGGCTGAGGAGCCCCAGCCTTAGGTTCTGAGAGGCTGCACACAGGCCCTCGGGGAGCGGGGTGCAGGCGAGGCGCCGTCCAGAGGGCGGCACAGGGAACAGAGGCCCGCACACCCCACCCTTCCTATCTTCTGTGTCCTCCACACCCCCATCCCCTGTCAGAGCCCCCATTTCCACTCTCCGCGGAGCTCCACAGCGCTCCCTGTCAGACCCCTCCAGCTCCCTGTGCGGAGCCCCGCCCACGCCTGGCCTGTGCCCTGGATCCTGGGGCAGGAAGGGGAGCAGAGCAACTGGGGCACAGAGACCAGGCGCCCTGCTTCACCGCTCCTCAAGGGACACAGAACAGGAGGTGCCCGCTGGGCAGCCTGAAGAAGCCAGGGGCTCTTCAGAGAGGGCTGCCAGGCAGAAACCCACCACTGTCCAAAGAGAGGGGAGACGGTGGGGGGGGCACCCAGCCCTGCTGGGATGAGAGCAGGGCAGGAATGTGCCTGGCCAGGGGCCTGAGGCTCCTCGCCTGTGCCACCCTGACAAGTTTCAGAGGGGCGGGTGCTGGCCTTGGACCCAGAGCCCAAGCCGGGCCAGGGTAGGGTAGGCAGACACTGGTGAGGCGTCGGAAGGGCTCAGCCACCCGGAAGAGCCCCCTGCGCTCCGCCTCCCCGCCCGCCTGTGGGCACGGCGCACTCCTGTGTTTAACCAGGGCGGTTTCATCTGCGAAGCTGTCGGTGGCAGTCTGCAAACATCCCCAGCCGCCGCCTGCCAAGCGCCACCCGCCGCCAGCTTGCCTCGCAGGCGGTTCACGCAAGCTGCCCGGCCTGGCACCAGGCTGCTCGCCGGCCTCCCCCGGGAGCTGGCGGCCTCCCCCGGGAGCTGGCAGCCTCCCCAGGGCTCCCTTCCTTGCAGTGTCCCCATTCTGTCAAAAACCATAATCCGCCAGCCATCTCTACGACCCCTGGCCCCCCTAGAGTTAGGAGGACATGGGGGCCCCAGAATCTGAGATACCCTGAGAGAAATGAAAACCTCTGGAATCTTTGGGGGCCCTGGGAGGGGCCGTGGATCCTCCCTGAGCCCTGGACACAGGCCCCCCAAGGAGGCCAGCTCTGCGTCAGCACGTGGCTCCCGGGGTGAGCAGGTTCCCAAGGGAGAGCTGCTGTCCCCTGAGTCTGCTCTGTGGTTCTCCTGAACTCCTGGCCTGGCTGCCCGTGGGGTCGGTCCCTTCCACTAGCCCCCTGGGGGCCAATCAGAGCCACAGGTACCTGTGCCCCTCCCCCCAAGGTGTGTCCTTCTAGCCTGTCCGAGGCCACCTGCTCTGGCTGGAGAAGTGGTCACAGACCCAGGGCCCCTCCCAGCCAGGCCCCCGCTGCTCTGTTGGCACACCCATGCGTGGACCCTGATTGGCCTGAGAGGGTGGCCCCCAGGGACCCAGAGGCTGACACAGTCACGTCCTCGGTCAACCCTGCAGCTTCCAGCCCCTGGGGGACCTCAGCCCCAGCGCCCCCTCCCCCCCAGCAGCGCTCCACCTCTCAGGCCAGGCCTGCATGCCCATGCAGGGCAGCGTGCCACCCCTCTGGCCAGGGCTGCTCAGCCTCAGCTTTCTTACCAAATGCCTGGGGCCTTTCTCATTGCATTTAGGGGCTGCCAGCGGGGGTGCTGCGGATCCCCTTGCCCCCGGGCTCACAGTCCAGCAGGCCCTGTGGTGCTGCCTGGAAGTTGGAGACTTAGAGAGAGCGTGGGCGGCTCTGGGTGTGGTGTCCTCACCTGTACTCCAACACGCAGGCGCACATGCGCACACACGCACACGCGCACACACGCACATGCACACATGCCGACGGGATCGTGAGACACATTCAGACACAGAGCTGTCTCTTCAGATCTAGACTCTTTGGTCTAGGGTAATCTCGGGCCTTCCCACTTGTGCCTCAGTTTCTCCATCATCAGAAAAGGAGGGCTTATTCTAGGCCCTCCCTACCCCTGGGAGTGAGGCTCCACTGAAAGGTGGTTGGGCTCACCCCGAGAGAACGCTGGTGGGTGACCCAGGATGAGCCCCTGTGCGAGCCTCTTCCAGACACAGGTCGGGTACTTGGGGGCAGCGTCGCCCACACAGCCGTCTGGGTTCTAAACTCGCTCACAGCGCGCAGCCCTTGGCTTTGTCTGCTAGAATGCCCAGTTGGTGAGCGAGATCACAGGAAGCCTGCCGAGGGCCCGGGGCTCTGGCCCTGCCCATGGTCTATCTGTGCTCCAGCTGGCCCCGAGACCCGTGGACAGCTGGCAGAATGGGTAGCAGTTGCCTCCACCCAGAAGTGAGGGCAAGCCGGGCGGCTGTGGCTCACACCTGTGATCTTAGCTACTTAGGAGGCTGAGATCTGAAGATCGAAGTTCAAAGCCAGCCTGAGCAGGAAAGTCCCTGAGAGACTCTTATCTCCAATTAACCACCAGAAAATACCAGAAGTGGCGCTGTGGCTCAAGTGATAGACCTCTAGTCTTGAGCTGAAGAGCTGAGCGACAGCGCCCTGGCCCAGAGTTCAAGCCCCACGAATGATCGCCCCCCCCAAAAAAAAGGCAAAGGGCAGCCAGCTGCAGGGGCCACGTGGGAGTCACCTCCCCTTCCCCCAGGCTCCAGAGAGATAGGGGTGTTCACCACCCTTACCTCTGAACTCCCACAGGGACAAAAACCAGGGCCGCCTACCTGGGGCTCACAGGGCCTCCACGTGGGGGGCCAGCGCTGGGACTGGCCGGGGCCTGGAGGGCCTCCCCTCCCCAGGGCCCGAGGTGACCCCACAAGCTCCCTCGGGGAATATGGCACAAGGAAAGACTCAAGCATTAGTTCAAACATAGAGAATAATGACATTCTCTTTTCGTAAGGAGGAGAAAATGTGAAATCATGAACTAACAAAAGAAATTCAGCCAACATAACCTCCTAACAAGAACTGACATTAAAATTATGGTTATTAGACATATTTCCTTCCAGGAGTAGTTAAAGATGCTGCGGAAGGTGAGGCGATTAGTTTTTAAGTTTATATTACACATTATAACACAGCAGGCCATTAGCGAGATGGTGACATTAACCGTAATGTACTTGGCAGAGAGATCTGTAGCCACCTGCTAGACGGGCTCCTGGCTGCCCGGGTATGGCCCCAATGGGCCAGAGCCGAGGGTCAGGGCACAGGCAGGTACCCAAACCCACAGGCTGATGAAAGAGGCCGGTGTCCACCCCAGAGGAGAGGGTGGTGGGGAGCGGGGAGGGCCACGCAGGGGCCGCTGCAAACACCGCCCTGCAAAGCACTGGTTCCAGGTGAGAATCCAGGAGAGTGTGAGGCTGAGAATGGGTTGAGGTCAGAGGTCAGGGTTCCCTGGAGCCAGGGGCAGAGGTCGGGATGAAGCTGGTGCCTTCGCCATGCCTGGGCTGCCCTGGAGTGGGTTCTGGGAGCGCGAGGCTGACAGTGAACCCCGGCATCTCTACCAGACCAGCACATGCCCTGCGCCCCTTCACTGTCCCGGGTGCTTCCTCCAAGAGAGATGCTGTGGATGCCCCAGGCCCAGAGAAGGACAGAGCGGCTCTGGGTCCCGGCTCTGGCCGCCCTTGCGCCCCTGCCTCTGTCTTGGTTGTCTCACAGCTGGCTGGCTCCCTGCGTCTCACTGCACAGCTGTCTCTGCAGGACACTGGCCATGTGCGTTGAAGGCCCACCCTTCTCCTTCCATCTCAACCAATCAAATCTCCAGCGGCCCTATTCCCAAATAAGGCATGCTGTAAGTCTCCAGGGACGGGGATGTGGACTAGTCTTTTGGGGTCTTCCCCACCTGGCTTGCATCCTGCACGGACAGGTTGGAGACAGGATTGGGGGGAGATGTGCCTTTCCCCAAATTTGACCCCTTACATGACAAAACCAGTTAAAATATTTTGGTTAGAAACCTTTCTAAGCTGGGTGCTGATGCCTCCTGCCTGTTAATCCTACCTACTCAAGAGGCTGGATGGGAGGACTGTGGTTCAAAACCAACTGAGCAGAAAAGCCTGTGAGATGCTTATCTCCAATTAACCAGCAAAAAACAAACACAAACAAACAGAAGTGGAGCTATGGCTCAAGTGGTAGAGTGCCTGCCAGCTTGATCAAAAAAGCTAAGCAGGAGGGTGAGGCCCTGAGTTCAAGTTCCAGTACTACACACAGACACACACACACACACACACCTGACTCCCTTTTAAAGTCCACTTCCCAATGCCCTGCCTCCTCCAGAAGGTCCCTGAGCACAGAGGAAGGCTCTGTGGACCCCTGGGATTGCTGGCAGGGGTCCGTGCTGCGCGGTGCCCACCCAGCCCCTGCCATCTCCTTTGTCCCGCTCTGATTCTCAGCATTTTCCAGGCGTGGGTGGGTGTTTGAGCTCCAAGACCCTCACTGCCACTCACATCCTTCGTTCCCAGCCTTGTTCTGGGCCTGTTCCATGGATTGTGAGTTCAAGGTCCCTCCTGTCACAGAACAGAGCCTCACCCACAGGAGGCCTCCAGGCCGCTCCTGCCCTGGTGGGACTGGCTTGGTGATGCCCCCTGCCCATCTTCCCCAGAGGGTAGGGGACCTGGCTGTCACTATGCAGAGAGAGAACAGAGGTGGGTGCCATATCCCACATCTTCCCGCGGCCTCCATCAACAAGGCTCGGATGGATCTGAGCAGGACAAGCCTGTGTGCATCTACCTATAACTTTGAATTAAACATGCCACGTGCTGCCGATGGGCTCTTGGAGGTAGCTCCAGCAGCAGCTCCATAAAGCTCATGTTATACTACAGCCATTATGCGCGAGTTTACTGTATATACATTTCTAAACGGCTCCGCAAACAGCAGCCTACTTATGGGCAGAGAAGGAGAGCTGCTTCATTTGGGGTAACAAATGATCCTTGATTTGATTTTAAATGCAATGACAGCCAAATTTATTTCTTATTTAATCACTTGCCTGTGCTGTGGAGAGCAGGGGGATATTAAACTACACAATGCAGAGAAGGCTCTGGAATCAGCCGGAAGCGGCACGCGAATAGATTATGTTTATAGGGCAGAGTGGGAGCGGAGCGCAGAGCACAGAGCCAGAATGGGTATTTTTGTCATTTATACAGTAGCGTATATCATTACTTCTTCCCGCTTTCAATTTTTCAGTAATAAAAATATAGGCAATGTGATTCTTTTTGCATTACAGACAAACCATCTTGATTATTAAATAATTTTATTCATCGGAAGTACCACCAAGCATCTGAGCAGGTAAATCAGGCTGGGAGCAATCAGCCTGCTGCTAGAGCTCATACAGCGGCTTCATCTCTGAGGGCACCGCGCCGGGAAGGAAGGGGCCGGTTCACCGCCAGCCTCCCGGTGCCCATTTACAACCATGCGTACCCACAGCTGTGGTGCTCACGGGTTGTTTATTCTTCAGAAGCCAGTCGGTTTGGGTCATCGCTCCACAAGCTCCGGGTTTGTGTTCTGTTTAATTAGGAGCTACTACTCGAGTACTGCTGTCTGCATCAGCTGGACACCATGGTCCCTAGGGACCAGGCTGCCCAGGGACCCTCCCAACCCCACCACAGAGCCCAGGAGGGACCTGGGCAGGGCCAGGTGTATTGGGGGGCACACAGAGGACCAGCCTGCAAAAGGGGTGGCCTGGCCTCTGGTCCCCAGGGAGCTGGCTGTGCTTGCTTGGGGATGTGGAGTAGCCATCAGCAGGTACAGCATCTTGCTGGAACATTCCTTTCAGTTCAACTAGAACTACTTAGAGCTAGTCATGGTCCCTTGCCCTGCTTTTTCTCAGGCTCTAAGTGGTGGACTCCTTGCTTGGCCAGCTGGACCCCTTCCCCCATGTCCTCCCCTCCCCTCCCTTGACCCTTCCACTCCCTGGGGAACTGACCCTGGCTTCTTGGTTTGGAGCTACCAGAGCTGCACTGAAGACCCTCAGGGGCTGCCTGGGGGATGCATCCTGCCTGAGATCCTGGGGTATCTGCTCTTGGTTAGGGTACACAGCTCCGAAGGGTGGGAGGCTGCCCAGCACCAAGGCCCATGGCAGAGGGGCTCTAAGGGTCTCTCCGCATTGAAGGGACCTTGGATGGCTCTGAGGGCTTTCGAAGACGGCCAGGTGCCGAATGAGGGGGCGGTGTGTGTGGCTCTACCTCCTGACAGCTGGGGGCCAGACTCCTGTCGCGCTCTGGCCGCATTCCCACCATGTCCACCTTGCCCCTGATGACAAGGCGCCGCCGCCCCCGCACTTTGGGGGCTTCTCCCACTCTCTGCCCGCCCTCTAGGAGTGGTGCTGTGGCCAGCCGTGCTCTCCCCGCCGTGCCAGAGGGGGGTCTGATGCTCTTAAGATGGCAATCCCGATGGCTGGCAGTGGCGGGGGCAGGCGGGGGGGAGGTGCAGAGGGGCAGGTAGAAGAATCTGGAAGGCAGTGCTGCATGTCTGTGTGGCTGGGCAGAGGTGTGCGGCTGGGGAGCACCACAGAGAACCCTGGGCCCAGCCGTGTGTACAGGAGCAGTGCCAGGCATCCAGTGTTTACCACCCCAAGACAACCTGTGCGGGGAGGCATCATGCCCAGGTCCAATTTCCCCCTCCCAGGACCAGGGCCAGGGGTGGCCGGGCTGCCCCCTGTGGGGTCCTCAGCTCATGGTCCGGATCATCACCCTCATCCCCACAGACCTGCTAGGGGTGTCTTTGGGTCTGGACCAGGCCCCCTGTGTGTCCATGCCTGCAGGGAGACCGTGAGAGCCATGGCTACTGGGAGTGTCTGATGCAGGAGAAAAGGGTGTGGAGGGACAGGAGGGGGAAGAGGGAAGGAAAACAGGGAGGAGGGATAAGGGTGGAGAGATAGGGAGGGGGAAGGAGGAGAGACGGGAAGGAGGAATGGGAGGAGGAACAGAGGAGGGATGAGGAGGAGGGATGGGAGGAGGGACAGGGGAGAAAGGACAGGGGAAAGAGGGATGTGGGGGGAGGGCTGGGGAAGGAGGGACATGGGGAGAGGGATGTGGGGGGAGGGATGGGACAGTCTGGCTGAACACCAGGGGAACACTGTGTCCCCGCCACCTCCCCAGCAGGGACTGGATCTGAATTCAGCGTGCGTGCCCAGGCCCGCCCACCAAGCTGGAGGCCAGGGAGGATGGGCTGGCCACTGGGCCCAAGGCCACAGTCATGCTGAGCCCCTGGGCACTCCTGGGCTGGGCCGGCTGACAGAGGTGGCCTGGGACCTGGTTCCTTTTCCCAAAAGCTTCTTCAGTCTAAGTGGAGGCTGAGGCGGCCAGCCTCCCCCTCTGCCCCGGAGTCCCGTCTCCGTGGGCAGCAGCAGGGAGCCAGGCTGCAGCCTGACCAGGCTGGGAGAGGACAGGGCCAGCAGACCATAGGCGGTGACGGGCCAGTGCAGAGAGATGGCCTGCCACTGTCTCTGTGGGACACTCGGCACTGAACCCCCAAACCCTCCCCCAGCTCTGCTGCAAGGCTGATGTGGCCCCCAGGGCCAGAGCCTCCTGGGAGCCAGGCCAGGGCAGCTCAGCCCAAAGGATGCTGGGAAAGGAGGAGCGAAGGGACACCTGGCCTGCAGAGGGGCTCTGGGCCCAGGGGGAGGCAGGCTGAGCACCTGTGTGCACAGCAGAAGGGTGGGTCCCCAGTGCCACCACTGGCACCAACAGGCCCTGGGATGGAATTCTAACCCTGCATCCTGCGCAGTCAGCAGGCGGTGGCTCCACAGGCCTCTGATGGGAGGAGGGAAGGGAAGGGACCTGCCCCGGACAAGGAGGGGCCCTGGAAGGGTCTCCCTTAGAAGCAGGCGGGCCTTCCTGGGGTTGCCTGAGGGGTGGGGACCCTGACCAGGGCCCCAGCTCTGGTGCTGGGCGCTACCACACGCTGCTGGCTCCCTGCTCCCTGTGGCTGGTGGCAGGCTGTACCCGCCTCCCCCCAGGACGTCACCACACAGCCCCCCTCACTTGAGGTCAGCTGGCACTCCACAGGGCTGGCCTCTGACCTGGCTGCTACGAAGCCCCAGAAGGTGCCCTGTGGATGCTGCGTACCTGAGAGGGAAGGGGAGCACCCCATGGCCTCTTCCCTGGCTCCCTGCCAACCTCATGGGAGAACCACAGCAGACGCAGCCCACCAGGGACGCTTGGCAGAACCCTGGCAGCGCCTCCGAGTTATCAAGACGGAGGAGGGCCAGGCTGAGGCAGTGCCACCTCCAAGAAGAGCCCAGGGCTCTGTGATGAGGAGATACACTGAAGGGTCCCGGGGTAAGAAAAGAATATTGGGCAGGGCGCCGATGGCTCACACCTGTCATCCTAGCTACTCAGGAGGCTGAGATCTGAGGCTCATGGTTCAAAGCTAGCCTGGACAGGAAAGTCTGTGAGACTCTTATCCCCAATGAACCTCCAGAAAACCAGAAGTGACTCTGTGGCTCAAGTGGTAGCGCGCTCGCCTTGCGCCTGAGGAGCTGAGGGACAGCGCCCAGGCCTAGAGTTCAAGCCCCAGGACCAACAACAACAAAAATATTGGGTAAATCTAAGCAAATCCGAGTGAAGGTGGGCCAAATCCATGTGCTGGGCACGGCAGCCCATGCTTTCATCCCAGCTACTTGTGAGGCCGAGGCGGGAGGAACTCAAGTTTGAGGCCAGCCTGAGCCGCACGTCTCAACAAACACACACCAGTGCCGGGACATAGCTGAAGGGGCAGAGCACATGTCCAGACAGCCTGAAGGCCCTGAGTTCCATCCTGGTAACTCAAAGGATCCAGGGTGTGGCCAGGCAATCCTTTGAGGTGGCTTTGGAAGAGCCACGCCCCTTATACTGAGCCAGGCCAAGGTCCCCAAAGCCCCAGTTCCCAGGTTGCTTTGCGGGCCTGTGCACAGCATCACTCCCTGGTCCTGGCCACCTCTGGGCACAGCACGTGCACAGTGGGCTGTTTGTGTCTGAGTCCCAGCTGCATCCTGCTACAGCTACTTGCTATGGAAGCAGGTGACCTGTGATGGGGGTGGGGGCCTGGTAGAGGGAGAGGGGGACCCACACCCAGGACCGGGATTTCAGAGTGAGAGTAGCCGGAAAAACCACATTTTAACCCACCATCATGTGGAGGGTTTTGTTATGAAAAACACCAGAAAGCCATTCGTGTAAATCATGAAATATTCAGCAAGGAAGTCACTTAAATGTCTTGTCTTCCCAGAAGCCGTGCCGGATCTTCCTGCGCCGGGCTCTGGACAGCAGCTTCTGAACTGCTTCACAGGCTGCTCCCGCCGCGGCCCTGTAGAAATGGTGCCGCTCTTCTGTAAATCATTACAGGATACTGGATGGCGCTGGCAGTGTACACCCGTCATCTCAGCTCTGTGGGAGGCAGAGGCTGAAGGATCACAACTTAAGTGTGGCCCCAGACAAAATCTGGACCTAGCAAAATACAAACTAGAGCAGAAAAGGACCAGAGGCATGGCCCATGTGGAAGAGTACCTACCCAGCAAGTGTGAGGTTTTGAGTTCAAACTCCAGTACTGCCAGAAAGGAAAAGAGAAAGGAACAATGTACACCTGGTTCATAGCCAAGATGCAGATCTGACCTACGTCTCCACCCACGAGATGGATAAAATGTGGCCCGTGCCATGAGTGTCTTCAGCAGGAGGAGAGGCCTGAGACATGGGAGAGATCCCTGAGGAGAAGAGCCAGGTGGGGCTGTAGGATTCCACTCCCCCAGGGGCCTGGCGCTGGGGGATCCCACGGAGGCTGCTGAGGCAGGTGGGGCAGGAGCTGGTGTGGATGGGCATGGTACAAGTGAGGTCTGCAGATGGGCGGGTGGACAGATGGTCAAGGGTGCTGGCTACACGGTGAGGGGCGAGTTAGTGCAACATTGCGTGCCTGGAGTTGGCTAGAGTGTCGTGGACAGTTTCATGCTATGCATATTTTATTCCATTGAAAAAATTTAACGGGGTGCTGGTGGCTCATGCTTATATTCCTAGTTATTCAGGAGGCTGAGATCTGAGGATCATGGTTTAAAAGCCAGCCCGGGCAGGAAAAACTATGAGACTTTTTCTTCTTTTGCTTCTGGGTCTTGAACTCAGGGCCTGGGCACTGTCCCTGAGCCACTTTGTGCTCATAGCTAGTGCTCTACCACTTGAACCACACTACCACTTTTGGCTTTTTCTGAGTAGTTTATGGAAATAAGAGTCTCACAGACTTTCCTGCTCAGGTTGGTTTTGAACCATGATCTTCAGATCTTAGCCTCCTGAGAAGTTAGGATTATAGATGTGAGCCACCGGCACCTGGCTTAGTGCTGGTGGCTCCCGCCTGGTAATCTTGCTACTCAGGAGGCTGAGAACTGAGGATCAAGGTTTGAAGCCAAGCCAGACAGGAAAGTCCATGAGGCTCTTATCTCTAATTAACCACCAAAGAAATCCTGAAGTGGAGCTGTGTCTCAAACTGGTAGAGCACTCACCTTGAGCTAGAGTTTAGGGACCATGCCCAGGCCCTGAAGTCAGACCTCATGACTCACCTACTCCCACACACACAAAAAATAAAAGAGTTGAGGATGGTAGAGTGTTGGTGAAAGGTTTGCCCAGGTGCAGGATTCCTGGCGAGGATGGCTCTGGCCAGGTAGGGTTCAGGTGAGGAGCTTTTCAGCACCCTGGAGAGAGACATGGCGGCACCTGGTTGTGAGGATGATCAGAGCAGGTCCCTGGGAGCAGAGGTCCTGGTTTCCTGGGCTCCACCTTGGGCAGGAGCTTGCTGTGATTTCTGGGGGCTCTGCTCCAGCCAGATGGAGAGAGGGATGGGAGGGCTGGAAGGCGCTGCAGGCAGGCCCTGCCAGGTGCAGCTTGGGAGGCCTGGTGCGCACCCCATGGCTGAGAAGACATCTGCCCTTCTCCAGGCCCTCTGGCCGCATCCATGTCCCGCAAGTCCCCGGGACCTGGCACCTGGGGTGGGAGGGGTGGCAGGCAGCTCCCGTCCTCTTTGCTCTATTCACCTGCCCCAAGGTGCCTGGAAGCCAGGCTCTCACTCGGACAGGGGACCATGTTGGGGAGCTTGTCACCCTCTTTTCATAGCAACACAGGTGTTTGGTGCCTGGCAGCCAGGATGCTAATGAGTGCCCGTGTCTGAGACTGTCCTGCCCTTCTTCCACAATGCCACTGTGACAGGTGACTCAGATGCCATCGCAGCGAAGCGGGGAGGGCCTTAGGAAGCCCTGGCCACTCACACGCTCTGCTCCATGACATGATTCCAGGGAGGACTGAAGATTCCCCAGTACAGCAGAGGTTGGTCCTGATTCAGTTCCCACCCAGGGGCTGCTGAAACCTCACATGTGCACAGCTCCACCAACTCAGCCTCGAGGCTGACCAGATGCCTGGATGCCGAGGACGAGCCTGTACAGCCACGTTCTGGCTTTCCGCAGGGAGCACAGTGAGTCCCTGCAAGGGAGACAAAAATCGTCATTGTTCACACACTTCCATATTGTTGTTCTGTGAGGTGTGAGTGCTCCTTGAAAACACAAACACACTGGGTGCAACAGCATATACCTGTAATTCCAGCTATCCAGGAAATGGAGGTCAGGGGGACTGAGGTTAAGTCCAACCCAGACAAAAGGTTAGTGAGACCTTTATCTTAATTACTAAGCCAGGCTTGGTGGCTTGTGCCGCCATCCCAGCCACACAGCAGGCTACAGATAGAAGGTACTCAGGGTCTAAGGCCAGCCTCAGGCAAAAGCATGAGACCCTACCTGTAAAGTAGCTAAAGCAAAAAGGCCTGTATGTGTAGCGCTGCCTAGCAAGCATGAGACTTGCTAGTGCCACT